GTAGTATCACCAGGAGGATGTGAAATATGTGTACAGTGATTTTGGTGGGACTACAGGTCATAATGGTTGAGCTATTGATTATGGATCCCAATAAATATTAATAAAAAGTATGAAAAATGATTTTCTGGATTAAATAAGAGTTGTAGTATCACCAGGAGGATGTGAATGATGTACAGAGTGATTTTGGTGAGTCTACAGTTCATAATATTTGCGTTATTGATTTTTTTCAAAATAAATATTCATAAGAAATATTAAAAATAATTTTATGGTTTAACTAAGAGTTGTAGTATCAACAGGAGGATGCAATTGATGTACAGAGTGATTTTGGTGAGTCTACCATTCATAATATTTGCGTTATTTATTATTTTTCCCAATAAATATTAATAAAAAATATTAAAAATTATTTTATGGATAAAATAGCAGTTGTATTATCACCAGGGAGGTGTGACCGATGTACACTGTGATTTTGGTGAGTCCACAGTTCATAATATTGACGTTATTGATTATGAATCCCAATAAATATTCATAAGAAATATGAAAAATGATTTTATGGATTAAATAAGAGTTGTAGTATCAACAGGAGGATGTGAATGGTGTACAGAGTGATTTTGGTGAGTCTACCTTTCATAATATTTGCGTTATTGATTTTTTTCAAAAGAAATATTCATAAAATATATGAAAAAAGATTTTATGGTTTAACTAAGAGTTGTAGTATCAACAGGAGGATGCAATTGATGTACAGAGTGATTTTGGTGAGTGTAACATTCATAATATTAGCGTTATTGATTATTTTTCCCAATAAATATTAATAAAAAATATTAAAAATGATTTTATGGTTTAACTAAGAGTTGTAGTATCAACAGGGAGGTGTCACCGATGTACACAGTGATTTTGGTGAGTCCATAGTTCATAATATTGACGTTATTGATTATGGATCCCAGAAAATATTCATAAAAAATATGAAATATTATTTTATGGATTAATTAAGAGTTGAGGTATCAACAGGAGGATACAAATGGTGTACAGGGTTATTTTGGCGAGTCTACCATTCATAATATTAGCGTTATTGATTATGGATCCCAAAGATATTCATAAAAATATGAAAAATTATTTTATGGATTAAATAACGGTTGTAGTATCACCAGGAGGATGTGAATGATGTACAGAGTGATTTTGGTGAGTCTACCATTCACATAATAGG